GAAAGGCGAAAGAACGGAAAGGCGATAGGTCCAAGCATTTGAAGGTGTTTTAACAAAAGGTTCAACTCCTATGCATTAGCCGCATTACTGAATACCTAGCAGACCGCCTATGCATTAGCCGCTTTACTGAATACCTAGCAGACCACCTATGCATTAGCCGCATTACTGAATACCTAGCAGACCGCCTGTGCATTAGCCGCTTTACTGAATACCTAGCAGACCGCCTGTGCATTAGCCGCTTTACTGAATACCTAGCAGACCGCCTATGCATTAGCCGTTTTACTGAATATCTAGCAGACCGCCTATGCACTAGCCGCTTTAAACAGTTTTGCAGGTACGTTTTCACACCTACCACTGCCGGTCTTCGTTGGCCACAGCAGCAGTGGCAGGTCTGTGGCCCCCTGCTTCTTTTGGTCGTAGTAGTAAGGCCAGAAACTACTATATAGTAGCACCCAGCCTTCTAGTGGAACCGACGGTAAAATTACCAGATAAAACCTTAGAAACAGGTGTTAACACTCTGACATTGGTTTGCTGTTAACTCAATTCCCACGATGAGAAGGAAGGTGTGGGAAACGCAAGGTGAAAAGGTCAGCGAAAACGGTATTGTTTAACCAAAGTTTCACAGCAAGCGCAAGTAAACCTCTGGGGCCTGGAGGTCTTCAAGAGGAAGCAGGGCCAAAAGCTCAATGCGTGACTGCAGAAAAGGCTTAAAGATTGAAAGGCAGGTACGTCAGTGCTGGCCGGGCACTGATATCACATCCACTTGGTGCGGTCTTTGTTAGATGAGGCACACCAAGGGATCCTCATCCCCCTGCGAGAGAACCGGTGGACCCTTAGAAACAGGGCTTGACACACACACAGCCGTATTCGGCGCGTTCTCCCTTGCTTACAAAGTAGTAGCGAGGCCAGGGGCCTCTAGTAGCGTCCTGACTCCCCGGAGAACTTTTGTACAGAAAGCGCCAATATTGGCGCTGCGAAAAACTATTAGCTACCTAAAAAGCCTTAGAAAGACAGACAAAGCAAACAAAACAAAAGCAGACTAAGAGGGCAAGAAAGAAAGATAGGGGTAGTTACGAGGCCCACTTAGTTAAATGAAAGTAGTTCGCGAGCGGGACATTTGTCTTAAACCGCCCGGGTAGCTAGCAATAGGTGTGTTGAGTGCGATTTCCTTCTGTTGCTCGAATAGCGGGTGGGATAGCAAAGGAGGCCCAGGGGCAGGGAGGGGGAAAA